GGTTTTTTTTTTTTTTTTTTTCTTTCGGGTGGCTGCAGCGGGAAGAAAGGAGAAGAAGAGCAGAATTGGGCAAGGCTGGGAAGAAAAGAAAGAAAGAAAAAGAAAAAGAAAAGAAGCCATCCTTATCCAATTATTTTCCCTCTTTAAGTCCCTCAACTTTTGAAATATTTTACCATTAAGCCCCAAAACAGCATTGTTCCACAATTTAGTCCCTAACTCACTCATTTATTCTAGAAATTTTTGGGGTATTACATAGATGTTGTGGCAAAATGCACCTTTAACTAGCCGATTTTTGCCTCTGAGGTGGATGCATGGACTTTATATGTGGACAAGACGTCTAACTATAAAGGCTCTAGCGCTAAAGCTACATTAATTGGCCACGACAAATTCTGAAGTAAACATGCCCTTAAGTTCAATTTTGAAGTTACCAACAATATGGCCAAGTATGAAGCTTTGTTACTCAAACTGTAACTAGCAATAAAGCTCAATGTCAAAGCCATTTAGATTTACAGTGGCTCCTAGTTGGTGGAAAAGTAGGTGAATTCAATTTGTGAAATATTTGAACTTAGCTTAGTAAAGTATGTGGCTATGATTTCAAAACTAAAAAGTCAATTTGAAAATTTTTATTAACGAAGATACCAAGGGCTGAGAACGAACAAGTAAATTCTTTATCAAAACTGGCCTCTAGTGGTTTCAATAACCAAACAAGCCAAGCTTTCAAAAGCTGAGGATAATAGAAATCAGCACTAATCCAAATACTCTGAGCTAAATGGATCCAATAGTGTCTTACCTTCGAGATGGAGCAATTATAGATGAAAAACAAGCAAACATGAAGTTGAGAAGGAAGGCATCTCAATACACTTTGATTATTAGTATCCTTTACAAAATATCATTTTCACTTCTTTTACTTCGACGCCTAACCTTTTATAAGACCAGATATGCCCTTTACGAGGTATATGAAGGTGTGTTTGGAAGTCACATGGGTGCTAGAACACCAGCTCACAAAGTCCTTAAAAAAGGATATTATTGGTCAAACAGGTTGAAAAATGAAAACAAATTTGTGCAATGATGTCTAAAGTGCCAATTCTTTGCACATCTTACACACCAACTAGCAGAAGAACTCACTAACTTGGTAACATCATGGCCATCTACTTAGTGGGGCCTTGATCTCTTAGGCCCATTTATGAATGCTGTAAAAGGTGTGACATACTTGGTTATTACTGTTGACTACTTCATGAAGTAAGTTATCTAGCCTGACTTAAAAAGAGATGGAAGATTTTGCCTTGAGTTCGATAATATGCAAATAGAATCTTGATTCAAATTGTTGCTAACAATGGAGCTCAGTTTAATTGCACTTCATTCCAAGAATTTTGCTACAATTATGGGATTGAGCTCATGATCACCTCGGTCTACCAACCAGAGGCCAATGGCATGGTAGAATCTATAAAAAAAAACCATATTGGAAGGAATTAAGCTAAAGCTGGTATAGTCTAAAACCAAGTGGGTAAATGAGCTCAATAATGTTCTTTGGATTAGCCAAATCATGAACCAAACAACCACAAGTAACCACACTTGACTTCAGTACTTAGTTCCTTTTATCTATTTCATTTCACCCATAATTCAACATACATAATATGTAAAGCAAATACTAAAATGTTAAGTCATGCAACTAGACATAACACATTCCCACTTGGCTTTTTGAATCTGAAGCAATTATTCCTATTAAGGTAGAAGTCCCGAGCTTGAGGTTCAACCATTTGAATGAGGCATGAAATGGACAATTGCTTCTCGAGAACCTAGATTTACTTGGCAAAGTTTAGGAAGAAGCTGGACTTTAGACTTTATCTTGCAAATAGACGTTGGCCAACTTTTATAACAAACGAGTTCGGCCTTGAGCTTTCAAAATCGAGGACCTCATACTTTGGAAGGCTAAGCTTACAGGTTTTGAAACTCATTTTGGTAAGCTTGTTTCGAATTGGGAAGGCCTTTACACCATCATCATGATTTCCTATCTAACTGCCTATGTACTTCATGATGCTAAGGGAAAGAGGGTGCCTAGAGTTTGGAATCTAAACAACTTAAAGAAATTCTTTCCTTAAACTTTTGTCAATTTAATTTCCTTAAACTTGTCATTTGATTCCTTTCTTTGTGCATATTTGTTAATATACAAAGTTAAGATTCCAATTTGTATTTGTCATTTGCATTTTTACAATATATTTTCAAACTCCATGAGTTAAAAGTTAGCTCTACCTTGATCATTTCTTTCTTACTTTTATCAAGATAAATTAACAAGCCTCATCAAATAAATATCAAGTACCAAAAATTCAACAAAAGTATTGAATCTCCAAACACAGTTCATAAATTAAAATATCTATCTCAAAATTTTATAAAAACTCCAAAATATTCATCTTGTCCCCCACTTTAAGACCTCTGACCTTTACTACATTGTTACCATCCACAGTGATGAACTCAAAGTCAAAGTTCAGAGGAAAAATGGTGCAACCATTGCTATCTCGATCCTAGTTTAACGTCACTTCTGAAAAAAAAAATCAACTTATCTTACTTTCACTAGTTTCCTCCACTCCATTTTCTTGAGTTCCAAAGTTGATACTCTTCACTTCCACCTCAAGATGTTATGCCTTCACCTTCTTCCTCTAGTCATTGAAAGCTAACACCATGGTACAGCAAAGGTCCATTGTGTTTGAGAACATACTAGACTTGACTAAGTCAAAAATGTGCTTCTCCATAGAGTTATGGATTCGTACCCCTGCATCACATTTCATCTCCTCCACCTTGTTACCTACCTTGACTAGCTCATTGTCCTTCTTAGACAACTCTTTCTCACACATTCTTCTTTTCCACTTAGCAAATTCAACTACCTTCTTCATTGTCTCTATCTCACCTCAATGCTTGTCAAGCTTTAGACATTTTTCTTACCTTCTTCTTTTTTCTTGTTAAGCTGCTCCTTCTCCTTTGCTAACTTGTCTCTTTTTTTCAAAGATTCTACATATTTACTTGCCATGACGTTGGCAAGATTTGTTGCCTACATCATACATTGAATTCAATATATTGATATAAAAAATGCAAGATGTCATTAACACAAATCTCTTATCTCAAGAATGTATAGCTAACTACACCTCCTTTTCTAATCACCTCCACTTTGCTCCTAGCTTGATCTAAGTTGAGTTCAAGAAAAGTGGCATCTATTGTGCCTAGTAGTCATCTTGCTGGTAAGGTCTATAAACGTATACACGTTAAGGTATTGGGCATGAGGTGGAACAAAAACCTTCCTCTTTCCATGTTTTATTGCCCTAACCTCCTTATTAGAAGGTCCTACATTGACCTTAAAAGGTTGGGGTACCATCTCAATCTCAAGGGCACCATGCTGGTGCTGTTCTTTGTCTACCTTACACCTTTTGGGGGTTATGACTTCCTCTTCCACCCTCCCTATGCTCAACTCCACAAGTCGCCTCACAATATGGGTACTCTAGTTTCCTATGTTTACAGTAGGAGAAATTCTAGTTGTAATAGTCATAGGTAGAGGTGCATAACTCCCTGCTCCAACTCTTTCCTCCATCTTGGCCATTATAGGCCCCTTGGACTTCTTTGGGAGGGTGGCTTGACCAATAACTACCAACAAATAGTTCATCTAAACTACAATACAGGTTACAATTTAATAAGAGTATACCTTCAAACAAAAGAAAATTGAATTATCACACACCTACACTCAATGAGCTTGTCCCATATAGCTTGACAGCACCAATGAGATTAGAACTGGTGAAGTGAAAAATATCTAATACGTTATTATCTACCCTAATTAACTTTTTCACTTCCACCCACACAGCCAATACTTATTTAGGTTTGACCTCTTCAACCTTCACTTACACAAAGCTTCAACCTCCATGTCAAATTTGGCCCATGTAGCGTCATCAAGAAAAAGGAATTTATCTTTCCACCTTTTAATTAAGGATGGGCCGACACTAAACAAACCTGAGTTGTCTTCATTAAACACCCAAGCTGTAAAATAATACCACCCTTTCTCTATCTTTCTACCCACTTTTATTACATAAAAATACTTGAACATATTCACAATTAGATTATCAACACCCTGAGTTCGGCAATACACTAAAAAAGCAACTATAAGCCAAACTACATTAAGGATGAACTAAGTTAGTGCTATATTGTAATCAATTAGCAGATCAAAAAGCAGCTTAAGAATTGGAAATCTAAGCTCAAGGGCTAGGTAACGGGCATAAAAAGGCATCCAATGATCCCTTGGAACTGAGTAAACCCTCTCTTCCTTCCTGGCTAGCCTCATCAATACATGGGGTTTGATCCCATAATTATCCACCAAGTATACAAGGCTAATCTTACATTTCCAAGACACCTCATACATTTTCACTTCAAATACAATTGAGTTCGAGCCATCAAAACAGCTTACTCGGTTATTGTTTGCCTCAAGTATAGTGGATGGAATTCTAACCTTGGCCACCTATCGCTCGTTTATCTCAACTCTTAAGGATTCTGCCTCCATATAGCTTTCATCCCCATTTTGGCCTATAGGGCGAACTTCTACCCTTCCCCTAACACTCAACATCTCTTCATAAGACATTTCCTTTATCTCATAACTTTCTCTATAAGGGTTGGAGGTGGAAAATACGTAGGATCATGGGTGAGCTCTATCTCACTCTCAAATCTAACCCTAACTTCTTTAAGAGGACTTAAACTTAAATTGAAATTTGAAAGTGTAAAAGGTAAACACAACTCCTCACTCAAATCAAAAGCACAGCTCATAAGATAATTAACTGATTTTAGAAGGCTAAACCACAACACTTGTGGGAAATAGCTATTGTGCTTGAAGGCAAGGAAGCTCAGACACTAACATAGCTTATTTTGGCAACACTTCCGTAGTAATGTCACATGGTAACTCAAAGCAACACCAGGTGCCTTATTTATAGCAAAGTCCAACAATGCTCAACAATCATGATCTATCGATCTGATGGCTAATATTGCACATTTTCAAATTTAAAGTCATTTCCAACTATGCTCATTATTACAGCACAAATTTTGAAGACAACTGTTAACTATTATTAAAACTATTATTTGACCAATTAAATAGGGCCATCAAAGCCCAACCTAGTGAACATACTACATGTCATGAATTTTCACTTCAGCTACGGCCATAACACATAATACGAGTCATAAATTTGTACCTCGATTATGACTAAAATATGTGACGTGTCATTAATTTTTACCTCGGTTATGGCCAAAACAAATTACTATGTGTCATTAATTTTTACCTTGGTTGCAACCAAAGCACATGATTACATGTCATGAATTTTTACCTCGGCTTCAACCAAAACACATGACTACGTATCATGTATTTTTACCTTGACTGTGGCCAGAACACATGACAACGTGTCATTAATTTTTCCCTTGGTTGCAACCAAAACACATGACAACATGTCATGAATTTTTACTTTTGCTTTAGACAAACCAAATGACTTCGTGTCATGAATTTTACCTTGGTAATAAACCAAATCACATGCACATCTTTTCCAATCTCATCATTCACTAGTGAATGACCTAGAGGAAGGGAATAGTGTAAGTATAGGTTTGAGATCGTTGATCTTGGACATCTTGAAACAAGTCACCAAGACCAGCCATTGCCTTAGGCCAAATATAATTGAGGTCAAATAACCTAATGACAGAAGTCGAAGTCTATTTTCCAGTTGCATGATAGTTACTATAAGACCGTACATAGCTAATCTCCATTTCCGAGATGTTCACTCTATCAGCCACTTCGTATTTTGATTATTTCACCAAGAAAACCCCATGAATACCTTCTTAAAGCTTATAAATACCCTTAGGGTCTCTTGCTATAGGTATTTGAGACCAACCTGAGGCTTTCTTTCTATTTCCCTTGAATAGAATAGAGTATTATTGATTTAAGTATCGGAGTATTTACCTCAAGATCCAATCTTAGGGCTTTGCAAGTCAATTAGCTCAAAGGACTGAAATTAAAGGATTGGAGATTTTTTGCATTTACAACTTCAGCTTGAAGAGGCACGATAGACCATGATATTTTGAAGTCAATGAGCAAGATCGATCATGATATTTGTGACTGAATTACGCTAATCTGCTTATCTGTGACCTAGTTTAAGTTTTGTATTTGAATTTTTGTGACAGAGTGCAGTTAAAGCTATATATGTATAAATATGTAGATATCTCAATGAAATATCACTAAAACATTACCTCCTCTAACTTTGTGTTCTCTGTAGAATCATCTAACGAACTCACAATTGAACTCGCAATCATCAAAATTTTAAATGCAGTGGGGTTGAAAAGCGAACTGCAGCTGAATTTACCGATTGGAGTTTCTTCATATAATACGACCGGCTTTTTAAATAGTAAAAATGGTATAAAATAATGAGGACTCATTGATTTTAATAGAAAGAGCTTGATTTAAGTTTTGTAAAGAAAAGAGATGACACTGAAAGAGCTTATTTTTCATCGAATTAATTAAAATTTAATATAACTCTAAATGCTGAAAGTTTAATATTAATTTTTTTTTTAAAAAAAACACACACACACACAACATCTAAGTGTACCTAACCCGTAATACAGTACAAGATGATGAAAAAAAGGGAAGAAAAGAAAGAATTGTAAAACAGACACAGAAAATTTTATTTCGATGGAAATTTAAAAAGTTCACCAATTTAAACTTCGTAATTTACAAAGGGAAGACTTTCTTATGCCTAAAATAGAATAAGAATGAGAAATACACGAATGCGCATCCAATACCCGTCATAACCAGCACCCAATTGAATGCTGATGGATAATCAAAGATTGAGGCAGCAAAATTCATTCCGAAAATTCCAGTTACGACAGCAAATATTGTAGCCACAAAGTTTGCAGCAGTGAGAAGCAATTCAAATTGAATCAATTGGTTTTGTACATTGCCCTGTTCATGAGAAATCAAGAAAACAACCTTAGTTCTACAATGGTACTCGTACTCATTCCCCGTTCCTGCCAAACATGCCAAGATAAATGAGGCGGCCTTACAGAAGATGTAGATTGTCAACTCATACTTACCAATTTAATGTTGATGAGATCTTCGGTATCATCAATATACTCTTTGAGCTGCATCACCAATTAAGTTAAAAAATTCAATATCCTAAATATAAGTGGCTCTCATTAGAGGGAAAATATTCTGCTCAACCACTTGATAGTCTTGTACCAAGAAACTATTTTCGTTAACGAACTCTGTATTCATGATTGAGGATGTTTCAGTTACATTGATTTTAAAGCAGACTAGTTGAAAAGTGCCCCTAGCTTAATCATTATTCTACCAGAGTAATTTAATATTTTTGTTTCTGGGTGCTTAAAGAAAATTATTTTATAAAAGTATCTTAGTATTTGCAACCCTAATGGATACAAGTTATTATAAAATTTACATTTTTAAGAAGATTATAAAATTCACTGAGAAAAACAAATTATACTAAAAACATTCAGAGAGAACCATACTAGAAAACCAAACACCTCTTACCGAAAGCAACTTGCTGAGTGTATGACCAATGACAACAAAGTATGCTTCGAGTAACATTTCAAGTTGTTCAATATTTTCCCCAGCACTAGACGAACTCATCAAGCTTCCTTGTTTGCTTGAACTCACAATACTGCTAAATGTCCTCTGTAATCTGAAGGCTCCATTGGTTGATGCTACAGGTGAAACAGGAGCAGATTTTGATACCATTCTGGTTCCACCATACAAGTTTTGACCATCACCTAATGAGTAAACCTCCGACCTTTTTTTTTTCTCAGTTAGGTACATCTCTGCCATGTCACCATCATCATCCATGAGATGCTCTATCTCATCATGGACCTGGAATTTAATCTAAAATCAAATATAGAGAACAAAGCAATAGCAGGCTTACGAATTCCATAGAATGTAATTATCCTAAACCTTTTGAACCCGTTGAGTTAAAGCAAGGAGGTGTCCTTTTAATCTGCGAGCTCGCTCAAGGTTAAGAGTATTAATAGATGAAGCTAGTTCATCTAGGACTGGATAGATCTCCATCTCCAGTTCTTTTACCTATCAAGGAAGAGAAATTTTGAATGAAAAGATTTCAACTTTCAATGCAGGCCCATAAAAAAAATTGATGCCCAAAATGTCTTTAATAAGCCAATAATAAAAAGGTTGAGATACTTGGAGAAAGCCCACCTATGCAATCTCTGAGCAATATTTTATTTTCAGCATAAACAGATAAGGTCATGAGTGAGGATAAAACAGTATACAAACCATAGCTGGATTCGAGGCTAGAAAGAAAGGAGACCACCCAACTTGCAGTACAAGATGGGAACCGTTGGGTTAAGGAATAGTCTAATAGTCTCTAAATATAGCTATGACCTAAGTGCAATTCATTGTTCTAGGTTCCTTTTTTGAATAATTAGACTATAAGTAATTTAGTTAATTGCAGGAAACAATACAGTCTACTTTTAAAACCAACATTCAACATTTTTACTTAACTAATTGAGGCATAAATATCTCAAGATTTTTCATATAGGGTTTCTCTTTCACTCTTATTTTCTTTCCCTCAAATTCTTTTCTATTCACATTTTATTTGCTCATATAACGTGTGTTACTTGTCACAACAGCACTGTCCTTGCTGCCACCAGGCACTCATCAAACTAAAACTGAATTCACCTATTAACACTAAGTGCCTGTTTGGTGTAGTTGGAGCTTTTAATAGAAGTTCTGTTGAAAAGAAACTGTTGTAGAAGTGTTGTTTTTGTAAATAGAAAGAACAATAAAGATAAAATAATAATAATGCGTTAATTCCAATAAAACCCAAATGAGAAGGTCCTACAGAAACACCAATTCGGTGCTTGTGAGATTTACAATGAAATAAACAAAAGACTAACTTATGAGAAGTTATAGCACTTTTCACAAATTATAGTGTTTGGTGCAGTTGGAGCTTTTGGAGTCCAAAAGGACTTCCCACCAGCTGTACCAAACATACCCTAAATCACTAAAACAGTAATTTTCTTGACCTTCCACAAAAAATGCTTTTTGAATTCTCAAAGTGACAGATCAACCATTCAGAGGGCAGAATAGAGATTGAATTCAGCCCTAGATTGTTCCAATATCACAAGTTCTAGGCTGGGAAACAATTTATTATTCCTTGTTATTATCAAACAATATATGGTTTTAAATGCATCATAGCCTCCACTGTTGGATTTAGTCAGCCTTGGAAATCATAAATCATCTCGAATGGATTCTTATTCCTTACATATTAAGTTACCTCAAATAAAAATTCCCATATAATGAGAAAACTAACATCTTTCAAGTCCAGGAGCCTATGGAGACAGATTTTGTGTTTCTTAAAGTTGAGTAAAAAGTTTTAATTGATAAAGTATTAATAGTACATTGCAGTAGTTCCTATAATTAAGCAGTAGTGCACGTTAAAGCATACCTGTGCATCAAGAGACACGCATGTCAGCTCCAAAGCCAGTTCCAGAGCCCTGAATTCAAATGGCAAGTCATCTGAATCAAAGAAGAACATGATGTAAGCTATTCCTCCTGAATCTATTTTACACAGTCCTGGACAACTAAATCTACATTAAAAGTAGCACTATCAGAACTAGGAATAGAAAAAATGTCAAGGGCCAAAATATCATTCTTAGATGAGTTTAGTTTGGAAAACATAACATTTTTCTCATGAAATAATTCAAATTCATGACAGGGCAACTGTTACTTCGCCAGCAAGTTTTTTAAATATAAAACTCTCACCACAGATCTATTTGGAAAGGAAATAATCCAAAGCCATAAGGATACTCAAGTATGAAGATGGAATTTTACCAACTTGATCTTTGTTTGTCTGGAGACGCTTGCTCAATTCTGACTTGTACTGTAGAACAGATCTATCTAAAGAATTCATCAGGATAACCTCCTCAGATGTAATTATACACCTTATCTGCTCAAGACTAACAACAATTGCCTTCTCCCTGCCTAATATTGTGGAAGGATAAATAAACAAAGGATCCAAAAGCCGTAGATCTCTAGAGGGCAAAGAACACTGCCTCATTATTTTAGCTTTATCAAGCTCCAATATCTTTGAATTACCATTCTGATCAATCTTTATCCATGATCGATTTCCATGACCTCTCTTCTTCATGCCTGGAAAGCTAGATCCATGAGTCCCATGCACATCTAAAGGTAACCCTCTCATGTCATGAGAAGAGGTAGAATCAGGCTGGCTCAAGGAAAAATAATGATTATGGGATTCTCCCATTGAGTTTTAGTTTCTCCTACTTCGCATTCAAAAAAGGATGGCAAAGTAGGGCACATTAGTAGTTTGTGAAATGCCTATCTGCAATAGCTGGAATTTGCAGTCATGTGTTGGTAATCAAATGGATGTAAAATCAAAGGTATTTATATTATTAGGCAAGTAAGAATGGAACCACTTTCAACGGAGGAAGAATCAATTAAATCTGAATGCAACTAAGAAGAGATCTCATTCACTTTTACTATCAAAACATTCAGTAACAGTAGCTGAAAATTTGTAGAAAAAGTAAAAGACTGACACCTTGACTTTCATGTTTCACTACCTGCAAATTTAAACCATTTGTTTTGGGTTAAAAAAACAAATTACTAAGTAAATAGCCTAGCTACTTTGATTTGACTAGGAAGGGAAATCTCAGAACACTAAAATTTATATGGTTGTATAAATAAATCAAATACCGATTACCCAAATAATGACTCACACACTAGCATTCTGAAAGGTAGAATTAGGTAAACTAAGACAGTGATACATTAACCGATAAAATATTCAAATACCAGGGACTACCCAAGGAATAAATTACTCACAAGCATTCCAAAAGGCAGAATTTAATTCAGAAACTAAAAGTAACAGATAACATTCTCCACATTGCAGAAAAAAAATGAGACCCAGAACCCTTATATTTGATCAAAGCCAATGGAGGTCTAACACCCAAGTCCACTAAATCAAATGCAGTAGACACAGAAGGTACATATAGGAAAGAGAGCAGATTTACCTCTTTAAACAGCTTGAATTTTAGAAACAAAAAGTATGGAACATGTTAGCACTAGTAGAATGAAGATATCTTGAGGTGCTAAGCCAGTAAGACATTAGCCCAAACAAGTACATCAAATAGACATGATTACCTAAAAAATGAGTTATCCACAACAATTCCGAGAAGCAGAATTCAACTCAGAAACTAAAGTCAATTTGTAAAGCAGGTATCATTCTCATATCTCAGAATAAGTATGAACAGAGGAAAGTGGATTTACCTCTTTAAACAGCTTGAATTGGGGGAAGTAAGATGAACAGCATTAGTCAGGAATGAAAAGAGAGCGAAGATATGTTGAGGTTGCCACGTTACTTCAAACGGATTCTAGCACGTATTAAAACTGCAAATCAGCGATTTTTTAGGTTTTTAATTTTTTCTAAAAAGTTCGTTTATTCCTTCAAAGTTTCAATCCTACATCTCTGTTGCATTAAAAATAATAGAAATTTCACATACAATGGTAAAGCCTTAATTTGAAAAATGAAAAATTGGTTATTGGTTATGCTGACACACCGAACGTTTAAATCTACAGCTGCGGCAAGAAGAACTCCGAATGAACTTGCCAATTCCAAACCCTAGGCGCGTTCTACTTAGCGAATAACGAACCGCCACCAGACCTCCAAAACGATGCAGTCAACCATAGATATAAGTGGAGCACAAATTGAGTTTATCCTTGAGCCATGACTTTCGGCCTCCACACCGTCGGAGATGGGAACAACTGTGGAGAAAGAAGGCGAACTGGTGAGAGAGGGAACAATACTTGGCGTCTAGCCTCTTTGGTAGTTCTGCTTTTCTTAAACCAACTTGTACTTATTGTGCCACGTGACTATAAATTTAATATGAATGATAATTAATAATTAACATTATAGTTTTAAAATTTAAAATTAAGACTAATTATATTAAATTTATACAGTATCTTAAGTTTTTGTCTAGATAAAAATTAATAAAGGAAGGATTTTTTAAAAGTACAAATTAAAAATATAATTATTACATATTTTTTTTATTAATTATTATTAAATAAATAAAAATTAATCTTTATTTAAATAACTACCTAATTAAAATAATTTACATGTTACTAGTGATGACATCAATGACAATTTTTATATTTTTTACTAATAATTAATATAAAAAAATATAATAGTTACATTTTTAACCTGTGCAGTAAGATAAACCTATAAAGATAAGTAAAGGATAAACCTATAAAGACAAGTAAAGGAAAAGGAACCAAAGGAAAAGGAACCAAAGGGAAAGAAGGGGAAGAAAAGAGAAAGAAATGAATGGAAAGAATTAGTGTCAGCGTTTATTTAGATAAAAACAAGTAAAGGAAAAGAGGAGGGGAGGAAGGGGAAGGGGAAGGGAAGGGGGAAGAAGTGAAAGGGAAGGGAAAGGGGAAGAAGTGAAGGGAAAGGAAGGGTTGATGTTAGTTTTGTTTAATTAGACAAAAGTAAAAGAAAGGAAAAAAACAATATTTTTATTTAATTAAATAATTTTTTAAAAAATAAAAAAGAATAGAAATTTTAAATTTTATTAATTAAATAAGTAATTAAAATAAAATGTTTATATATACTTATTTTTAA